AAGCTTATCTGTTAAGGTCAGGTTTTGCTGCCAAATGAGATCAAGTCAGATTTTGTGCTAAGTAAGTAGAACCCCCACCCCACCCCATACCACAAAGAAACTTTGTTTTCACAGTATTTTGGATTTGGGGATTTAAATAAGGAACTAGTAGCTAATAATACTAATTATGTCCTGCAAATCTGAAACTCTGATTAGGTCTTTCAGTCCTTCCTAAACAGATTTCAAATACACGCAAGAATAAAGAGCACTGTATAATAACCTTCATTTACCTATCATTCAGCAATAAGTATCAACATTTTGATTAACTTCCTAAAAGTAAGAAATTGAACTATTACTAAGAAAACGTAGTTTGGTACGTAAAAATAACTTCAAAACGGTATTCTGGGAGGAAAACACTAATGCCCAGCATTTGGGGGGTGGGGGGAGAAAGGATGGTACCTTTTGCGTCTGGGCCACTGACTCCTAATAACTATTCTTTGTACATCATGGGGCACAGGATGGTATGAATAAGAGGTCCCATTCACAGAGGTGAGGAAGGGCAGCTCAGCACCCTCGGGTTTGGTAGCCGCGAGGACATCTCCAGGCAGACAACCCGCGACTGGTCAATCTGGCTACTTTTGGCCAGGGCTCATGTTGAGACCCCGCACCCCGCCTCCCCTCTCTTTTCCACCTCATCCCGACCCAAAGAGAAGCGGACAGCGGGGCACTCACATCTTGCATGGCCCGTGTGCGGTGGTCAGAATTGATCTGGTCCCGGAGCTGGAGAAAAGCAAACGGTGACACAGACGCCGTTAGTCGGAGTTCTGAAGGTGGAAAGGCCGCCCGAGGGCGGAGCTTACCCGCCCGGGTCTCAGCGGCGGCAGCCGAGGCCTCGGGGGGCGCTGGGCCTCGGGGGGCGTTTACCACGGCCGCAGCTCTGAGAGGGAGCCCCGGAGGGAGCCGGGGGTGGGGCGCGGGAGGGTCTCGGGACCAAAAAGAAAGCTCTCCGAGGTTAAACACCGGGATGGGGCCCAGCCTCGACGTAGCCTCTGCTCAAGCCCCACTCACCGTGGACTTCTTAGTGAGCATCTCTTTGGCCATGACGTCCATGAGCCGTTCCTTTTCCTCATGATACCGCCGCTGCTGCTCCAGGATTGTCTCCATTTTTCCTCCGCCGCTGCACCTCGACCACCGACACGGCCGGAAACGACTCCTGCCGCTTTGCGCGCCCACGCCCCACGCTGAGCGTCCGGCTGCACCAAAGTTCCGCGGTGCCGGAAGTGCCTCGGGGTTCGAAGAAAAGGGAGCATCACAAAGTGAACACAGTTTGTGCTATCGAGGTGGCAGCAGTGCCCCCTGCTGGCCGGAGGTGTGGTGGAGGGATGCAGAGCGATTTCCAGGTGCCTCTAGGGGGCGTACAGAAATTCAGGAATCTGAGGTGAAGGGGCCGGCTTCCCAGGGTTTTATGAGGCCAGCGGGGCAGGCAGGGACATTATAGACTGAGGAGTAGTTGAAGAACCTGTATGGGAGTTGGGGGACCGGACCTTGAGTCCTTAGCTTTCAGGGTGACTCAGTCAACGTTTTTCCCTTCTCTAGACCTCGGTGTCCTTGTCAGTAATCCTTTTTTTTTTTTTTAAGAAATTCACATGTGGGGGCGCCTGGGTGGCTCAGCCGTTAAGCATCTGCCTTCGGCTCAGGTCATGATCCCAGGGTCCTGGAATCGAGCCCGGCATCCGGCTCCCTGCTCCGTGGGAAGCCTGCTTCTCCCTCTCCCACTCCCCCTGCTTGTGTTCCCTCTCTTGCTGTGTCTCTCTCTGTCAAATAAATAAATAAAATCTTAAAGAAAAAAAAAAGGTACTTCCAAGCAGCAAAATGCTATACAGCCATAAAAAAAGAATGAATCAAGTTTCTAGGTATGGAAATTAAAACATGTCCATATATTCAGACGGTCATAGTGGTATCATTTATAATCAACAAAACTGTCGCAGCCCCGACATCCATTAACTGATGAATGGTTAAACAAAATGTGGTATATCCATACAGTGGGCTATTATTCAGCAGTAAAGGAATGCTACAGTACGGACGAACCATGAAAACATCATGCTAAGAAAAAGAAGCCCTACACAAAAAATGACATAGGGTATATCGAGATGAAATGTCCAGAAAGGCAAATCTATGGAGACAGAAAGTAGATGAGTGGTTGTTTGTGGCTGGAAATGAGATTGGAAGTGACAGCAAATTTGGTGGTGATGGAAATGTTCTAAAATTGGATTGTGGAGATAGTTCTTCCGCAACTCTATTAAATTTGCTCAAAGTAATTGAGTTGTACACTCAAAGTGGGTGAATTTTATGGTATGTAACTTATCCCTCAATAAAGCTGTTAAAAAAAAATCTATATGAACTCAATGGAAAGATGGCCACACAAAGTGAAAAAGATCTAGACACATAATAATGTGTATAAAAATAGATGCACAAAGAGATTATTTCTGTGAGGATATCCAAGAAACAGTAAACAGTGGTTGTTTATGAGGAGATACCTCAGAAGATCTGGTACGGGAAACTTTTCTTTGTGTATACCCAGAATGAAAGGTTTTTTCCTTAACATATACATATATTACTTTTGCATTTTATTTTTTTAAAGATTTATTTATTTATTTATTTATTTGACAGAGAGATAGGGCCAGAGAGCACAAGCAGAGGGAATGGCAGAGGGAGAGGGAGAAGCAGGCTCTGCACTGAGCAGGGAGCCCGACCCCAGGACCCTGGGATCATGACCTGAGCCAAAGGCAGCCACTTAACCATTTGAGCTACCCAGGCGTCCCACTTTTGCATTTTAAAAAATAAACTTAAAACTCAAAATGAAAATACATATATGCACATGCATGCTTAACAAAAAAGAACCAGGAGGCTATATGTCAAGGAATTATTAGCGATTTACCTTTTCTCTTTACTTTTTGTAATTCTCCAATTTTTCTACAATAAGAATGCATTGGTTTTTGTTTTTTAAAGTTTGAAAAATAACAAAGGGATAATGACTCTTGTCTTGCCTGCTCATGGGGTGTTGTGAGGGTTATATTTATACCTAAAAATGTAAGCAAGATTTCAACCTTAGATAGCATCCCTGGCAAAACTCACCAGAGGGCAGGAGAGAGAGAGAGAGAGAGTGTGTGTGTGTGTGTGTGTGTGTTTGGTAGGGTTTGGGATCTACCATATTTCATCAAATATGAGATGCCATCAAATGTTAACTCCACCATTATTTTATGTCCCACTAAGAAAGAAAGGAAAAATTATTAAACTATGTCACATCTTCTATTATATAATGCATCTGGGTTTCCAAGATGTTAAATCTGAAAAATGTTTCTCTTGAAATCAGTGACACGGTAACTGTGTATCTCTTCCTCTTAGTGGGGTGGACCACTTAAGCAAAACCATTCACCTCCCTTTCCCTAAAACCTTCTCCTTCTCCAGTCCCTCGAGCCAGTCACCAAGTCCTGTCTTTTCCACCCGATGCCACTGGCTTCTTTCTCTCTCTCCTCCACCAGTGCACCAGCTTCCAACAGAGCCTGTTCATCTTACCCCTGCAATCCATTATTCATGCTGTAGCCAGAGTGATCATCTTATGCCCCTGCTTGAACATTTCCACTGGCTGCTTTTCCCTCAGGGTAAGGTCTGTTTAACTTGGCATTTGATTTTTTGTGACCTGGCCTCTGCCTGCCATTTTAGTCTCTTGGCACTTCCTCCAAATGAAATTATCTGCTGCTTCCCCAAAGCGCCATATGTTTTTTTCAGGCCTCCGGTTCTTTGCATCAGCTGTTTTCCATGCTTGGACTACTCTTCCTCAACAAGTATTTATTGAACAAGTAGTAAGTGCCGGGAGCTGAGAATAGTAGGGTGCGCAAGGCAGGCGCGAGCGCAGTCCTCGTAGAAGCCGGTGGGAGAAAGAGACAAAAATGTAAACATGTAATTACTAATTATAAGCACACATGGTGGGTATTTGTAAAGGTTTGTTGAAAATGTCAACCACAGCCCCAGAAAGTTTAGGATTCGAATCGGGCCCGGGAGGCAGTCTGAAAGGAATCCACCTATGATTACCTAGGTGGCTTTGGGGAACTGACAAGTGGAGTCTCCACCTCAGTGAAACGGAAAAATGCGCGCCCCATAGGATTTCTGGGAGGATTTAGTATGAGATACAGATGATCACGCGGGTCGGCCGGACCGGAGGGCCCCTCCCCCAGGGGACGCGAGGGTCCACCCGCACCGTGGCGCCGGTCCCCCACCCCAGGAGGCGGCGGGCGGGACCAAGAGCTCCCAAAGCCGCGCGCCTCGCGAGTGCGCACCAGTGCGCCTCCGACCGTCGGGAGCCGAGGGCGGGGCTGGGGCAGCCGGCGTCGGACGCCGGCAGAGGGGAGCTGCGCTCCGCCCCATCTCTCCACTTTGGGGGACAGCCCCCCTCGCTCATTCCCGCCTCCGCCCCTGAATCACGGGGGGGCGGGGCCGTGACCCATTCATGCCGGGAATCGGATCCAGATGTTCCCGCGGCGCGTGCAGCTGCATCCTTGCCTTTTTTGGCAAAAAAACGTGCGGCCGCGAGCGGATCCCGGGCCGCCTCCGCTAATCCTCGGGAAGAGGGGGAAGGGGGCTGGGGGTCTGGGCCCAGACTGGGAATCCGCATCGGGTGCTCTGCGGGATTTGGGAAGGGCTGCTAAGGGAGGGGGGCGGTTTGTACTGGACCGGGGAACCCACTGCCAACTACACTCCCGTCCGGGACCTCCCCCAAACCCCTCCCTCCCCCACCGGGAGGAAAAAGCCCTTTGCCAGCAGCGGGGAGGCTGGCTAAGCCTGAGAGGGACGGTAGCAGCGGCGGGGATCCCCGTTCTCCGGAGATTTCCCACCCCGTGGCCCAGCAGCTTCCTCCTTTGCCCTGCGCAGAGGAGGTCTGGAAGAGCCTGAGTCTCGCGGTCTGTGAGGGAACCTTCCTTCCCCCGCCACCTCCGCCACCCCCAGACAAACACACAGAGGCCTTCGCTTCCTCACACTGCTTTATTGCAGAATCTGGAAGGGGGGGGTGAACCAATCCCACCCCTCTGCCCATCTCTGGGCAAAAATGGAGCTCAAATGAAATGAGAAAACACTCGACAGACACAGACTGGGCAAAACCCTGTGCTCTAGGATCCCCTTAAACAGTGAACCCCTGATTCGCGGCCCAGAGAGCCCCAGCCCCGGGGATAGGGTGGGATGGGGGTGGGGAGGATCAAGCCTGAGGAGAGTCCACTTTTGAGGCACCCACAGAAGACCTAAAGTCTCTGGAAAGAAGTCTAGATTGAAGGGGGCCTGGGTCCCAGCGTCCAGTTTGGAGGGTTGGGTCTAGAACCTTGATTTGGGGAGAGGGCCTGGTCTGGGACCCAAACCGTGAGGAGAGGGCTGAATTCTGGAGTCCAGGCTTGAATCATGGAGGCTCCATAAGGATCCAGGTTGGGGGGCCCTGGGTCAGGGAGTACCGGTTTGGGGATGCAAGAGCAGGGAAGCTGACTCCTGGAGCCCAGGAGGAGCCCCAGTTTGGGGAGGGGCTGGGTCCCAAAGGTGGTGTGGAGAAGGAGCCTCAGTCCTGGAGCCCTGGTTTGGGAGGCCCTGGGCCCAGGAGTCCTGGCTCAGGGCCCTGCCTGGCTGCAGCCCTGACACAGCACTTGGTCTCCGTCCGGCACGAAGCCTTGGCCCACCAGGGAGGTAGAGCAGCGGGCGCAGGAGAAGCAGCTGTGGTGCCAGTGGCGGTCTTCAAAGGACACATACTTGCCTCCACCAAGTCCTGGAGGGAGGCTGGAGGTTAGCTCTGTGGATCCGGAGTGCAGTCCTGTCCCTCAGCCTCGCCCAATACCAGATCCCATTCCCTTGCTTGCACCCTACCCGCCATGCTCTTTGACCCTTTGTCCCACCTGTGATGGGGCGCTTGCAGCTGCTGCACTTGGGTGCAAAGAGTTCTCCAAAACAGGCCACACAGTAGGGATCATCATCCCGGGAGGTGAACTGCTGCCCTGCTAGGGGCGTCTGGCACCCTGTGCAGACTAGGCATTCTCGATGCCAGGGCTGGTCACGGTAGGTCACGCCACCTTGTGTCAGCGTCTGTGGGGGCAGCATCGGTCAGCGGGAGGGGAGTGGCGATCCCCACCCCGGCACGGAGCCTTGCTCACCCTCCACCCCACTGGCCCAGCCCCCACCTTGCTGCAGCGGGCGCAGCGAGGAGCGAACTTGTTCTCATAGCAGGGCACGCAGTAGTGAGCGCCCTTGTCGGGCACAAAGGAACGGGAGCCCAGCGGCTGTTCACAGCCGCTGCACAGGAAGCAGTGCTCATGCCATGTCTGGCCTCCGTATTCCAGCTTCCGGGACCCTGTGGGGAACAGGGGTCCCACTCAGAGGCTGTGTCCCAAGCTCCTGAGGGCCACCCTCTGCTAACCCCTGAGGAGAGTCCCTGCTGTTCCCAGAGCCTAAGCAGGGTGGCATCCACGCACATGGAGCAGGACCCTTGTCACCTACATGGCACATGCGACCCTCCACCCCCAACACCGCACATGCTACACACATGACTGGGCACATGCTAGGCCCCCATAATCTAGATGCGAGGATCTGGCATATGTGAAGTCCCCACATGTGCTAGATATGACTATGTCAGCATACACCAGGCCTCCATGTCGCAGGCATGATGACTCAGTTCACACTAAGTCCTTCTACACCAGACATGATGGCTTTAGCCACACCCACAAAGACCCCCGACAGAGTTCTAATGCCCTGGACCTGATGGATTCAGTACATGTGAAGCCTTGGTGTCTCCTGATCATGTCATTCTCCACCTGTCCTCAGCCCTCACATATCTATGAGGCACGCAGGTCACGACACATGTTAGGCCCTGTTGATCTGTCTCTACACACACCAAGCCCCGATGCGCCAAGCATGATGGTCTCATTGGACTCCTCGCTCCAACACGTACCAAACACGCAGGTGTTCATGCATGCTGAGCCCCCGGGTGTGTCTCAAGCCTGTCAGTCTGCCTGTACATGGTAAGCCCACAGGTGCACACGCTAAACCCTCAGGAACATACCAAGCGGGTCCGCTCCTGCGCGTGCTAAGCGCTCGTGCGTATACTTGGGTGTGCCAGTCCCCGCGCACGCTAATACCCCAGGAGCGTACAGGCAGGACTGATCCCGTATGTGCTCAAGTTCCAAAAAGACGCCGTGCGTGCAGGTCTTTATAACACTAAGCCTCCCTGGATGTACCGTACAGGTGCCCGTCCCTCGGCCGTGCACGAGCCTGCGTCGGGGCGGCACGCGCACGGCGTCCCCGGGCACGTACCGGGCATGACAGTCTCGCCGCAGGCCGAGCACTGCGACGAGAAGGCGCTGCAGTAGCAGTCATTGCAGAGCAGCTCGCTGTCCTGGCAGGTGAAGGGCTCGTCGGCCAGGGAGCGCTGGCAGCGGCAGCAGCGGAAGCAGCCCTCGTGGAAGTGGCGGTCTTCATAGAACAGCTCCTGCAGGGAGCATGGCAGGGGCGCTGGCACCTTTGCCCCTCCGTCCCAGCCTCCACCCACTCCTTGCCCGCTCTGGTCCAGCCCTTACCCTGGAGTCATGCCCGATAAGCTGCTGGCACTCGGCACAGGTGTTGGCGAAGGTGCTGTCATAGCAGGGCACACAGTAGGGGCCGTTGTCCGTCTGGATGTATTTGCGGCCATACAGGGACTCGCTGCATTTTGCACAGTCAAAGGCCTCGCTCATGGTGGCTGTGAGTGAGCCCTGCCAGGCGCCAAAGGTGGGGCACGCATCACCCAGAGGGGCTGTGGCTTAGCCCCTTGCAAAAGCTCTTTGCATTAAAAGAAAGAGCAAGAGACCAGGCCTAAGAAATGCCAGGTCCGAACAGCGGGCGATGAAGAAGGGGGTGCTTCTGGAAACCCAGGAGTCCTGCATGTTTATTTCTGTATTTAACAGCATGTGGGGCGGGAGAGAAGGGGTCAGGAAAAAATCAGGAAGCAGAAGTTGTTTTCTTATCTGGGCCCTGGCAGATCTGGGGGGAGGGGGCTTTTCCTGGGTCAGTGACTCATTTCCTGCCCCAGCCTGAGTTTAGCTTCCACTGTCCCTACTGTCCCCAAGGGGACAAGAGCCGGGGCAGGGAGCCACCCCACTCTCTATCCCGAAGGAACAGCACTCCCACCCTCTCCTGACTCCCAGGAAGGGGCCCGAGGGATATGGAAAAAGGAACCTCTACCCAGAGCTCGGAATGAGGAGCTTAGGGATGTGAATGGGCTGTCTGCCCTCTCCGGGTCCAGGAGCCAGTGGAATGTTAGAGGGATGTTGGGCCCTGAATGGTGGAGATGGAAGTCACCTCGGGCCTCCATCCGTCCGTCTGTCTGGGAGAGTCAGCCCAAGCAAGGACTTCAGAGGCTCAGGCTAGGTTTAAGCAGGAAGGAAGTCCTGCAAGCTGGACACAGCCAAGCTTCCCCAGCTGGACCCTCTGCCCTCAGCCCCCTGCAGCCCCTGCTGGGTCTCTGGTCACACCAGCCTTGGCCTGCACAGCAGCTGTGGCAGCACGACAATGGCCAGATGTCGGGTCTGGCCAGCCACAGGGGTGAGAAAAGGGAACCGAGATGAGATGCCTGGGGAGGGAGAGGGGAACTAAAGACAGGGATTACGCAGCATGCCCCTCCAGGCATCACTCCTGGCCCATCTTTCCAATCGCCTGGGTCATTATTTCCCTCCCCCTGCCTCTGGGAGAAACAGCCTCTCCCCGGCTTTTCCGGTTTCTGAGGGTTTGGGGTAGGCGGTGTGGAGGGTGAGAGAGTGGGAGCCACAGAAGACATTTTCTCCCCAATCAGGCCCCCTCTTGGGTGGGGAGTCAGGCACGGGGGGAGCCCTGAGGGTTGCTGCTGCAGACACCCAGCCCCCACCAAACCTCAGACACTTTCCATTTTCTCAGGAACAAAGCATGTTTGCGGGATGAGGTCATCCACACAGCTGCCTCTGGAACAGGAGCATGGGGAGTGGGGGGGGGCAGGGAAATGGGGTTCCCAGTCCCTTCTGCTGCCCCTGACTCCAGTCTCTAGCCCCAGATTCAGAGCTCCCCACCCCCAGCGTCCTCCATCATGAAGCCTGCTCTCTAAGGGCTGGGATCCCAGGCTGGGTGGAGAGGCACCACTAGGACTCATAGGAAGGGGATGTTCTCACAGCTGCAGAGGAACCTGGAGAGGACAAAGGAACCCACCAACCCACTACCCTCCCCCCACACACACCCCCAGTAACTGGCAGTCCCCACAGCCTGCCCAGGCTCGAGCTGAAGGAAAAGTGCTCCTTTTCTCAGCCACCCCCAGTGAGAAATTCTGGCCAAGAAACGTTGCTCTGGCTTGGAGTTCAGACTCCAGGCGCCAGCAAACGCCCCAAGCCTGGAGGGCCTGGCTCTTGAAGGGATGGTTTGTGAACTCAAAGCTGCCCCTCTGTACAGTGGGGGAAGATACGAAGTTCGTACCCCAGGCCAGGCCAGGAGGCCTCCAGGGGCTGGGGTCTTCAGAGAGGTGATTCTGGGGCAGGGCTATGCTGTAGGGTCGAGGGTAGCCCTCCTTCTTGGTCTGCTCCCCACCAGTGAGGCCTGGGTTTCCTCTGGCCCAACATCTGAGGGTTGCTTGGGCTGTCAGCCACTGGGCAGCAGGGGGCCACACAGGTGGAGTGTGTGGCCATGGTGTGTCTGGGAGTGCCCGAGTCTTTTCCTTCCTTCCTGGCTTGGCCCACAGCAGCCACCACCTTCCCAGGCCCAGGCTAGCCCTGGGACCACCCCCTGGGAGGCAGTCACCACTCTGAGACAGGGGCACCCCAAATAGGGTATGGGCATGGCTTCTGTTTCCTTCCCAGAATCCCCCAGTCCCCTAGTCTGTCCAGCTGCGCTCTAATGAGGACAGAGTGAAGGGCATTATCAAGGCCCACCTGTCCCTGCCCATCCCCCTCCCTCCCACTTTCCCTGGCAGGGCTAGGGGACTGAAGAGAACCAGTCTTATATTCCTTCATGGCTGGTGGGGTGGGGGGGAGGTGCAGGGGAGACTGCCCAGTCTACCAGATGGCTCTCAGCCCCTGCTCCCACCAACACACACACACACACACAGACACACACACACACTCCACCCCTACACCTGACCCAGACACACATCTGGCACATCCCAGTGAACCTCCCAGAGCTCGGAATGGCTGGATAAATGGCTGCAACATGTGGAGTATAGAGGCCCAAATGTGGCATGTGGGTCTGAATCCTGACTTCTTCGCTTACTAGCTGGGTGATCTTGGGCAAGTCACTTAAGGTCCCTGGGCCTGTTTTCTTATCTAAGCCTACCTCCTACTCCTGGGGTTGTTGTCAGGCTGAAATGGTGCTTGGAAAGCACCTGGCAGAAAGTGAGTAGTCAGTAAATGGTAGCCGTCGGCGTTTTTATTATTAGCCCCTCGCTCACACAGGGGTCAGACAAGTTTCTGAGCCAGGCCTGGGTCAGGGAGCTGGCCTGGGTTTTGACCTGGACATTCTCGGGGTAGACCCAGGGATAGAACAAAGAGGGACCCCCCCACCTCCCGCCAGTTCTGCTGGGGGAAGTGAAGACGCTCAGGCCGTGGGGCTGGCTGAGGAGATCAGTGGGGCCAGCCTGACCCCAGGGAGACCCCTCACACAGGTACACAGGTACACACAGCTGCATGCTGCCCTGCCTCTCACGAAGCGCCATCCCATCCACCATCTCACCAGATCTCACAAAAGGCAGGCAGGATAGGCTATCATTCCCATTTTACAGTTGAGCACAGAAACCAGGGACAAGCCAGGCCCAAGGTCACTCAAGTCTCAGAGAGGCCAGGTTCTCTGCTTTCCAGCCTGGAGCCCTTTCCTGTTTTTCTCCCCAAAAATGCTGCAGTGGTGATAAAGGGGGTGGTCAACACTTAAGAGCAGGGGTACAGGAGATACTCGGTGATGTCCCTAGCACTGGAGTCTCACTCTTCTCCCCCAGCTCCTAACTCTGCTGTTGGAAGACACCCAGAAGCCTTTCCAACTACCCATGCCAACCACTCAACTCCTTTGCCCCCCTCCACCCTGCACTGTCCAGGAGGACCCTGGCCAGGCCCCACAGCTGTGAGTCAGGATCAGATCAGACCTCTCCCTCAGCTCCCAGGAACTGACAGGAGATTTAAGGGGAGAAACCTAACTCCCCCCACCCCCCACCTCCTGCTATCAGGCACCAACCCCAAACTCTCCCTTCTCCCTTTCCCTCCCCCCATGGGGCCTGGGAGTCAGAGCAGTTTAGGGGCAGGGGGGTGGGAAGCAGGATCCAGCAGCTGCCTTGGGGACAGGAGAGGAACAGTTCATTCACCCTGGGTCCCCCAGGGCTGAAGGAGCGTCCAAGATTTGAGTTTAAAAATAAGTTGGGGCTGTCTTGGTATATGCCTGGGGCTCCTTCTTGATCTCGGTCTGTCTCAGGTCCTCTGCCTCACAGGGGCCTGGCTGGCCCAGAGTTTCTGTTTCCCCACATCCTTGTTTCCCAGTCTTTCAGGCCTGAGCCTTTCCAGGTCTGTCTGGGAAGCTGTCAGTGCGCCTCCATCAAAGCCAGCTCTGCCCCACTCAGCGTGTCTGTCTCTGCACACTTCAGCTGTCTTTATGTTTTGCGTGTATCTCTGGCTGGTTATCTCCCAACGGCCCCCCTCTGCGGATTTCTACCTCTGTACACCCAAATCTTGGTATCTGAGTGTCTCCAAGGGGTTCCCACCCCTTCTCTCTCTTAGCACCTCTGTTCCTGAGTGTCTGTCTCCAGTTTCTGGACGGCTCTATAGGCCTCACAGAGGCTGATCTATCATGAGGCTAACGAAGCTTAGGCTTCAGGGCCCCTCACTTGCCCAGGACCCTGCAAAGCCCCGGGAAGGGCGTTACAACGTGTTCACTGGGATCAATGTATGCTTCTCCTTCAAATGCTTCGCTCCACAAAACCTGGGTCGGTCCCTATGCCTCGTGTCTGCCTCTCGGTGACTCTACCGCCAACTCTCTGTCCCTTCCTCGGGTATCCCTGCAGCCTCCTGTCTAAGCCTGTCGCTCGTGTCCCAGTCTTGGTCTCGCTCCACCGGGCTTTCTGGGAGCCTCAGTTTCTCGAATCCTCCCGGTCCCTCGCTCTACTCTGGCTTCTCCGTTTCAAACTTGGCCCCCTCCCCCGTTCAAGTCTCGGAGCAGCCCCCCGGGCGGCCAGGATCGGTGCGATCCGGGGGGCGCCCTCAGGGGCTCAGCGC